TTTCAGGATTTGGTACCCCCGCGGATCGCCCCACTTTGCCTCCGTGACGACTGCGCGGCGCCCTGCCACCGAGGCTGTCGGTGGGATTCCCGTGCGCTGCGGCTGCTGAGGCAAACGGGGGGGATCCCGCCTTAATATCCGATTTCGTGTTTCTCTTTCAGTGATCCCGGTGACAGAATGACACAGTTTCTGTAAGCCCGTGACTACATCAGAAGCTCTTCCACTTTTGATTTGTTTAAATCAGCCATGTTTGCCGAGTGTTTAAGGTTGGGCTGGGAAAGATAGTGCTGTGCGTTGCTCAAGGGTGTAGGAGAGGCCAGGCAGGTGAGTAGTCGCTGTGATCTCATCTCGCTAATGCAAAGGGACATAGGATTTCCCCGGCGCTGTGAGAACACACGGCTTTTTTTTTTTTTTTTTCCCCTTTAAATAGCTTGCTAACATTTGCATAACACTGCTAACAGGCAAATTACTCAAAACAACTTCGGCTCATGCAAATAAGCCGAGAATTCATTTCACTGGGAGGAAAACAAAATTTAAAAAAACCCCAAAAAACCACAACCCCGAAGCCTGCCTTCGCCCCACCGCGATCCCCAAAGTCGCCCGTTCCCCGCCGCCAGGCCGGTGCCGGCGCTGGCCCGGAGGGGCTCCGCACAGCCCGCCTCGGCAGCGCGCAGCGGGGGGAGCGCTCGCAGGCTGGGGGAACGCGGAGCCTCTCCCAGCCGGGCCGTGCTGGTTGGATTTCTTTCTTTCGGTCCCTCTTCCCGATTCCTTTGTCGCTAGAAACGCCGAAAACCCCCGTCCGTTACGGGTTTCCCTCTGTGCTTTAAAGGGACCTGGGCTTTCTGTGGCGCGGTGCCACGGCTCCCGTACACACAGGCGCACGCCCAGCAGCGATGCAGCACCGAGCAGGAAAGATGCCGTGTATTCGGTTAATAACGTTTCAAAACTTGCACGACAAAAAGTTGGTGCTTTAAATAATTCGCTTCTTGTCGCCAGTGCGTCTCATTTCCATTTTTAGTTGTCGAAAACGTTTTATATGTGTCTGGTTATAATCTATAAAGCTGGCAAACGAATGTGATATGTATGTGAGTGGAATTATTTTACAAGGGAAGGCTTAATGAAATGCACACGCTGAAGTTACAGAAACGGTAGGAGCAGATAAAATACAGTAAGAAAATCAATTCTGACAAAGTGACTCTTTTTCAGGGGAAGCTTGCAGAAGCAGCGAGTAGAGATGGAAAAGTCTTTGAATTACGTGAATCTCCTATATGCAAATTGGCTGAAGAAGATGCACGAAAGGAGAGTGGGTTTCACACTTAGAAATTTCACACCTAAACTGTGGACATTATAGAGGCTTCGCAGAAGCAGGCTTCCAATCAGGCAGATGAAAGCTGGTCAATGTAAAAGTCTTTGCTTCCAGCCACAGAGATTCAGTGATGGCTGTAGGATTTCTACATTAATATGACTTTACTTGACTAAACAAGCATGCATTCACTCTGATTCATACTGGAAGGTCAGCTCCTTTCCTATCCTTTCAACTGCCCCGTGTCCATCTTCCTAGGAGAAGCAGAACTGGGTTGTGGGAAAAGATCATCTCCTACTTAAAAAACTCAGGTTGAGAGCACTGAGGCTTTCCCCTTCATCCCGACTGTCTGGGAATGCAGAACTACAGTGTATCCCGACTGTATTTCGGTCCCCGGGTTATACAAACCCAACACATGACAAGGCACTCCATGTGCTTGAACCGCCCCTCACCCTGGCTCCTCGCTCCACTGAATCCTCCTGCAAGAAAGCCCTTTTTTGGTAACACTCACCTCACAGGAACAGACTTCTTGGCTCACAAGAGCAGGCTTTATAGTGGGTGTAAATAATAATCACCTTAGATATAATCTAGCCTCAGAAAACCATTTACAGGTGCTGTCAACTCTCTTTATAGTTTGTGAATAGAAAAAGAGCAGAGATTAGCATCTGTGACCCGGCCAAACTGCCTTTACTTTTACTTGCAGGATACACAGTCGTGGAAATATGTTTGTTTTTCCGTAATGATTAAACTTTGATTTCAACTTTGGTCATGAGCACGCACTGTACCATTACGCAAGCAGCACTTCAGGATGAAGTGTCAGCATAGCAACAATATGGCCAGCAGCAGTGGTGATCTCTACAAAGCTGATTGATGAAGAAGACTGCAGCGTAAATGCAAATAAATGCCATGCCGTGGCACCTTCACAGGGAACGAGTTGTCAGTATCAATCTCATCTGGTCGAGGAAAATAGATTGCATGGTGGCAACATGGCCAAGCTCCCATCCATGGCAGCGCTATCCCCGCGAGGCTGGCAGCGAGCGTTCCTGCTCACCTTCCTCTCCTTTCCTCTCCTTTGCCATGTGAATGGCAGGGCGGGAGAGATCCAGATCGGTCTTGCTGGATTTATACTAAACACGTCTGGTGTTTATTTAGCTCTGAAATAATCCAGGAATTAAAATTACGTTTGGAGGAGGAAAAGAGGAAGCCCAAACAATGAAGCCATTCAGGTGCCTGGTCTGACTAACTAAAAGAAGCGAGCAAACAAAAAATAGCGTAACCCCCCCTCCCCTCGACAGTAGCTTGTTTAGTAAGAGGGAGGGGAGCGCAAGGAGGGACGGAGCCGCGGCCGCGGACAATTGCTACGCGGCTACTGCTTTTTTGCGCAGGAACGCGAGTCAGCACTTTGGACGCAGCATTAGGGATTCTGTGGCGATTGCCCAA